ACACACACACACACACACACACACACACACACACACACACACACACACACACACACACGTTACGGGAACCTCTCCCTTTCTCGCGCTGTATGATACAATGTATCATACCTTCTCACAGGTGCGAGCTCTGTGCCCCTCGAGAAACACAAACCTCTCAGGCAGTTATATTTGTGCCTTGCTCACAGTGGCGAAGTCACGCCCATCTACTTCCGGTCCATGGGACCTTATTTCGGAAAAATAATGTATTGAAGTCAATGGAGATCCCGTTTGAATTGTGCCATGAATTACACATATGATGTTTGTCAATCTTAAAAAATCATTTCCATGTCAAAAAAGTCACAGTTTGTCGTAAAACTGTTGAAATATAAGACTATGAAAAATACGCAACTAGAAAGACTACAAATCCCAGAGTCGCGTAAGTGATGTCACAATTGTTTTCCTCCACTAAGAGATAGCTAAGATCAGCGCCATATAGATATAATCTATCTATATGGCGCTGGCTAAGATAAGATAACTTTAACAAGATGCCTGTGTGCTTAGTACCAGGTTGTTATCATACCAGCAATGGGTCTTGCTCGTTCTTTTGCTTCCCGTCTGATGAAAGGACCAGGAGTGGCTTGATCAAGTTAGCTAGCTAGCTAGTAGCTAGCACATTAGTTAGCATTACAGCCTTGTCATTTTTATTAGCCTTAACATGAAGTAACATTAAGTAACCCAAAATGTTAAACAGTAAGAGTAGTAGTCATATTTCGTGAACCCTTTGAAGAGTACTGTCACCGGTGTGATCATTCTATAATACACAATTTAAGCCCGGGGGAGAAATGCTAATGCTAAAGCTAGCATCGGCGATCGGCGATCTTTTCTACTTCATGCTATCTGCACAAATGGTTGAAATTAAAAAGACCAGGCAGTTCAGAGAGAATCAAAGGAAGGCAGGCAGGCAGCTTTGCATGACATTCTTCTGGACGTGTTTCATTGTGGTGATAGTGAGGGTAGTCAATCGTTTTGTTGACAAGACAGTAGTGACGGCCATCTTGGTGACGTGTGTTGTTGACCAGAGATGTAGTTCATTGAGCGTTTCACACAAACAAATGTGTTACTTCACAGTTTTACGACACATTTTATTTTTTTTGACTTGCAAAATTATCTTTTAAATTGACAAACATCATATGTGTAATTCGTGGCACAATTCAAACGGGATCGAAAGATAATCTTTCTCTCTCCATTGACTTCAATACATAATTTTTCTGAAATAAGGTCCCATGGAGGTCCACCGGAAGGGGAGGGACTTCGCCACTCTATGAGCAGGCGACCGATTAGGCAATTTTCTGTACGAGGGGCTCTGGCTCTTGAACCAGATGAAGAGGAGATTGAACCAGATGAAGAGGAGATAGAGGAAGATGTCTCAGAAATGGAAGACAACAGCGATCCAGACTATTACATTACATTACATTACATTGCATGTCATTTGTTAGACGCTTTTATCCAAAGCGACTTCCATACATTCAGTACTGTGGACAATTCCCACAGGAGCAATTTGGGGTGAAGTGTCTTGCCCGGGGACACAACGACATGCTGACTGCAGTGGGACTCGAACTTGCTACCCCCTGATTCGAAGATCAATACATCCCATACATCAGTCATCCGTGAGCATAGCATCAAGTTGGCATGCCTATTACAGCTGAATGCGGCGATTACCATCTTGTTCAGCAAAACGCCTCACAAAATATTAAGATCCAAAGCTTTAGTGCGTTTTTGATTCAATGCTGAGTACAGCCACACTTGACAGTCCTCTTCTCTGTCATTGTAGACCGCAAAATACCTTATTCCTTCCGTGTACTTGGGTCCGAATGCTTCTCGTTTTTCCTGCCGCCCGTTCAATTGAAATCGCCCGCCAATCACATTTCCTCCTCGCTCGCAGCCAGGTTACAAGGCTCGCGTCTTGTGCTGCATTCACTTGCCCTCGGACATCAGGGATTTTCTCTGATAAATGTCCGATGAGCCACAACTTTTATTTCAAAACAAAGCTGCCAACTGGGGTGGCCAGACGCTGTCTCCTCTCTCACTTTAGATAACTTCACTAAAAATCGATCCATGTTGCCGCTCGCATAAAGTTAGCTGAAGTTAACGAGCTAGATTGGAACGGGAAGAATCTCAGCTACAACACTAACTAAAGCATTTCCATCTCCAGTAAACACAGCCTACATGGCAAGCATTTGTATAATATACAGTAATGTAAAATAAGCACTATCTTTGAACTTACTGCCAAAAATAATATGAAATTCACCCCTGGTGTCATTCTGTCTGTCACCCCTTGATTCCACTTGCTTTGACTGTTCAAATGAGATGTCAACCATCAAAATTGGATAAGGGGTTCCAGAGATATCACTGTGAAAAACACACCGCTATTTGACCGAAAATAGCATGGGAAGGGGGGTATGACCTAACGCAAGAGAAGGGTTAATACTTCTGTATGAATCATTTAACTTTCATTCAGCAACGTATTGAGAAATGTCCACTGTTTGTGCGACATTAACTCAGCTGCTGCTAAAGTCTCACATTAAAAATATTAAATGCCTTACTTTATGATTCACACTTTCAAATATATATAAAAACTGCAGGAGAAAACTCCTCTGAGAAACCTTTGGATGCATTTTATTTTGGGGTCAAACCGTATTTCGTCTTCCTGGTTTGTTTCTAGTTTTTGTTAATCTCTGCTTTTCTTTTTGTTTAACCTAACAACAACAACCTGCTCCGACAGTTTCTTTTATTCAAAATAAAGCTTTCCTTCTGCGGGAAATCCCTACTTTATGTTCAAATGTAGTTTACATTCAGTTTCTGGATTGAATGGCTTTTTAATTTGACTGCATGACTTTTGTGCTTGCCTTCATAAAGATGGTTCAAACTGTAAAACTGGTGTATTTAATGTGAGCTGGAGATGAAGAAGATGCACGTGATGAAGATCTGGATTTGTTTTTTGATGGTTTTATAAAACCGTCAAAAGCAGAATGAAACAGCAGAGGCAGGTATAAGAGTGTAATAAAAAGAGAGCTTTAATTAAAGCTGTTACTAAATAAACACAAAAACTGCAGGAGCAGGCGAGGTTAGACAAGAAGGAACGAAGCAAAGAGAAAACTATAAACAAACCAGGAAGACGTCGAAGAAACAAGACGTTGCTTTTTTATTTGGGGTAAAACCATATTTGCAGCTGACTAGAGGATTCTTAGTGAGACTTTGACTGCATACTGAGAACCAATCACTGATGAGAACCTGCTGATCGAGTCTCAAGCACACACACACCCTTTCCAATCCACACACACGCACCCCTTTCCAATGCACACACACACACCCAATAGCATACACACACACACCCTTTCCAATCCACACACACACCCCCTTTCAGACACACACACACACACACACACACACACACACACACACACACACACACACGCGCGCGCACACACCACACACACACACACACACACACACACACACACACACACACACACACACACACACACACACACACACACACACACACACACACACACACACACTGTTGGAGCAGAACACGTATTGGGGTGGCTGATAGCCCCCCCCTCTGCTGTGCGCCGTTCGTTGGATGAGGCTGATCTCTATTTAATAAAGAAAGGAATTGAAAACACCGGAATCAAAAGTTATAACAATTATCTGAGTTTACTGGTAGGAAACAAAACATATATACAAGTTATACAGAGTACTCCGGACTTCAGGTTTGTGATGAGATGCGGATACAAGTATCGGGACCAGCCAACTCATCAAACAAGAAGTATTTTTACATACAAAAACAACAGTATTTATATCCATATTTTGGGGCGGAGATGGGTCGACTCTTCCTTCCCATTTTACTCCGAAGCGAATCAGAGAGTCCGTGGGGAGGAGCTGTGTGAGCTGCTCACTCCCCCAGGTGTCCTTACTGGTTGGATCCACCTCTGGCCGGGTTCAATACAGCGAATCAGAGTTCTGACCAGAACGTGAGATTCTAAGGTTCTACAAGGTCAAAGTCAATCTTATCTCTGCACCGGTATTCACTCCCTTATTTTCCCATGGCATCTTTCACATAAACTGTTACTCTCAGACAATTAAACATTGTATACAGATATAATGAGCCCAGAAAGAACATAATGCTACCCAGAAAGAACCTTGAAAAGAACATGTGTGTGCGCTCTGGTGAAAAGGAGCTGTGTGTGTGTGAAACAGGATCTCTGTGTCAGTGAGTTGTAAGTGAGAAGACATTATATATGGGATTACTGAAAACAGTTCAAACAATACATGTTTACTTCAATACAGTTTAGAATCATATCTTTTTACTTCAACACACACACGCGCGCACACACACACACACACACACACACACACACACACACACACACACACACACACACACACACACACACACACACACACACACACACACACACACACACACACAGCTTTAGTTACTTTAAGATTACAGATGTTCTTCCCCCTCCTGTCCAGTGATAACCACGTATCTCCATTTTAAATGTTGACGATGAACTAGGATCCAGTATTTATTTATGTGTTGAGGCAGTTCTCCTCCTTAAGCTATATGCCTTTAAAAAGCCTCTTGGATCATCTTGAAAATGCACCGTCTCAAAGCTGAAAACAGGCTGTTTTTCTGAAAAACTCATGAAAAGTTGACTTTTTAAAGATACGTGGTTATCACAGGACAAAGCTACACACATATATTGATCTCATAGAATCTGCAGCAATGCATTTAACAAACCAAGACTATACTGTATAAAGGAGTTCAAATAATCTAGAGAGTACCCAAAACAACCTCACAAGTCAGGTTTTGAATGCAGGATGTTTATTGATTTTTGTTTTTAGCTGCTTGTCTATTTTCTAACTTTCTTAAACATGTTTTTGGAGCTGTTTTACTGTGAGAGCAATTGCAAATAATCCCTGTTTGTGTACCTGTCTACGTGATGAGGCTGGTTATGAAACAGAGGGAGGAGCTACAGACAGGAAGGATGTTGAAAGTTGAAGTAGGAAGTCAGACTGCCAGACTCCATTTCACACTTCGACAGAGCAGGAGGAGAACAACAGGGTGAGTGTTAACACCAGGATCTGCTTTTTAACACATCAATCATTTACTCTGTTATACTGTATGTCAGAAAATAATCTGTAAATTAAAATATATATATTTCCTGCAGTCGAAAGTGACATCTTCAAACGTTGTGAACTTTTTTATCCATTTCCTGGTTTCTGATTCATCAGAGTTACATAACATGTAACAGCCCAGCGCAGTCAAAATGGAGAGCAGCCTGCCTGAAGTCTGACTGATTTGTTTTGAAACCCAAGTTTGTCATTATGATGGTTTAGATTAACATACTATAATTGTATTATTATAATGTGTGTGTGTGTGTGTGTGTGTGTGTGTGTGTGTGTGTGTGTGTGTGTGTGTGTGTGTGTCTGCAGTGTTACTGGTTTATCTCTCAGACTGAAGAAGATGAGTGAATTAAAAGAAGACGAAGAGGCCAAACCTCCAGTCCCCAGCTGTCTGTCTCTGAAGAGTGACCGGTCCAAAGAGGAACCTCCAGACTTCAGAGATGAACCCGGACCCTCAGACAGGAAGTAAGAGACTATTTCTGCTGTGAACTGACCTGAAGAGGATTCAGTTATTAAATGATCTGATAATATAACTTGTTGATTAGTAATTACATGAACACAGTACAGAAACACTGCAGTAGAGTATAATAAAGAAACACAGTAGATTAAAGTAATGCAGTTGAATTTAACCATAACAACTTATATACTTAAGTCAAGTAAATCAACTTCAAACGTAAAACTTTTCACTGAACTGTAACGACAGAAACCAAGAAGCACGACTAACAAACAGAAAGTTTAGCACAAGTCCAAAAATCTTCATCCGTTGAACAGACAGAAGTCAAATCAAGGAGGCTAACCTAACTAGGCAAGAAGATTGAAGGATTAGCCAATCAAGTGTCATGTTCATATTACCTCTGCTCTTTAAGAACTAAATAATATTTTTTTATTTATTTAGCCTTTATTTATACAGGTGTAAAATCTCATTGAGACACAAGATCTCATTTTCAAGAGAGACCTGTCAGTGGTAACACTACCACACAAAGTTACAGACAGACAGGACACTAAACACAGAGGCAACACTAAAATACAACATCGTAAAAAAAAGTAGTCATTGAAATCCATATACAGTAGTCAGATATAGCAGGTGCAAACACCCACAGATGATTTCTCCAGCTTTTTTAAAATTAGTTTAAAATCCGTGATGGGTATCAAACTGGTCAGCTTAAGTTCCTGCTGAAGTGTGTTCCAGGTTGAAGGGGCAGAGTATGATATGGCTTTTTTCCCAAGCTCCGTGCGTACTGAGGGGACGGACAGAGTGATGTCATTTTGAGATCGTAGGCTATGGCTGTACTGTTTGTGTGATATGTAAGTGGATATGTAGAGGGGCAGCAGTCCAAGCCCAGCGGTATAGATGAGTTTGTACCAGTGCAGTGATCTGCGCATTGATAGTGATGTCCAGTTAACTAAAGAGTACAGCGTGCAATGGTGTGTGAGGGGTTTACAGTTGGTTATGAACCTCAGAGCCCCATGGTAGACAGCATCCAGCAGATAAAGTGAGTGAGCTGAGGCGTTCATGTACACAACATCCCCGTAGTCCAAGAGCGGCAAAAATGTGGCAGCTACAAGCCATTTCCTCGCACTTGTGGAGAAGCAGGCCTTATTTCTAAAAAAGAATCCCAGTTTTAATTTCAATTTCCTTAAAAGATAGTCAATATGTGGTTTGAAGCAGAGATTTTCATCTATAGTGATGCCTAAGTATCTGTAGGTGTTAACAGCTTCAATGGGGTTATGCTGGGCAGACATGATGCAGGGAAGAACAGTTGGTAACCTTTTCTTATTGGAAAACAACATGACTTTTGTCTTGTCTGAATTCAACACCAACCTGAGGTGGAACAGGTGTGACTGAAAAGTGTCAAAAGCAGACTGCAGACGTTCAAATGCAAGGGCAGCAGTGCTAGCACAACAGTATAGATCAGTATCATCTGCATATATATGTACAGAGGCATCAATATGTTGACCCACATCATTTATATAAATAGTAAAAAGGGTCGGTCCCAAGACCGAACCTTGAGGAACACCTCTGGGCACAATAAGAAAGCTTGAGGAGAGACCGCTGAATTTTACACATTGCTTGCGATTTGAAAGATAGTTTGCAAACCAACCAACAGCTTGGTCAGACAGGCCTATATGGGATAACTTCTGGCATAGAATGCCATGGTCCACAGTATCAAATGCCTTGGATAAGACTATAAAAAGGGCAGCACAGTAGCAGGGCCGTATCCAGGATTTGCTAAATACCGAGGTCCAAACATGCTAGGGGGGTTCGGGGGTGTACTCCCCCTTGATTTTTGGGATTTTCATGATCTAGTTAGGTGCTTTTTAAGTCCTGTGGGGGGTCACAAATGGATAATATATTGATTTCAAACCATGTCAGTGGGCTGCAGCATAAATTATTTTTGAAAGTGTAATGCATAATAATCAGTTGATTGTTACTATGAATGATCTGGACATGCAGAAGAGGCTAAAATGATCCCAAAACATTGTCAACATTCATTTTCCATATCTCTCTCCTTTTCATAACCTGCAGCCTCTCTTCCATCTTCTTTAGTCTCTCTGTCTTCTTCCTGTTCATTACTCTCTCTGTCCTCTACTCTTTCTCTTTGTTCAATCTCTCCCTCGTTGTTCACTTTCTGCTCCTTCTCACTTGTCGCTCCTGCCAGTGAATTAAAAGCAATTCAGCAATTTAGTTCATTTCACTTGTTTGTTTGCATTCTTTTTTAAATAAAAATCTGTTTTGTTTGATTCTCAAAAGAGAACAAAGATGTAAGCAAATTGTGTTTTATACAATTGTATGTTATTATGACATCATAACTGCAATATATGTATGTTGTTAAAAGTATGCCTATTGTCTATATTGTAAATGAAGATAGATAGATAAATAGATAAATAGATAGATAGATAGATGGATATATAAATAGATAAATAGATAGATGGATAGATAAATAGATAAATAGATAGATAGATAGATAAATAGATAAATAGATAGATGGATAGATAGATAAATAGATAACTCGATAGATAGATACAGTAGATAGATAGGGTTATTAAACCTACATTCTTTTGTGTGACTGTACCTGCAGTTCCTCCCTGACTTCCATCACTTTCTCTCTCTCTCTTTCTCTCTGCCTGTCCTGTCTCTTTCTTACCAAAGCTGAGCTTCAACTGACGTAGTCTTTTCATTATATCTGAGTCAGTGTAAAAAGAAAACAATACAATGTTATATCTTCAATGTTTTACTCAAATTGACATGAAAGAAAAGCATTACAACGTTTATTAAAAGGTAATCCTTCTGACATTGGATGAATGTAATTAACTTTAGCTCTCTAGCTAGTTTATTCACGCAATTTAAACCAAAGTATAGCCTATAGCTGCAATATAAGTTAGTGTGCATGTTGTCGGACGTCCACGGACTAACGTAGAGCGTTCACACAGGATCTGCTGGTCATATGATGTCCTGATGAACAGAAACACAAGCAGCCCGCTGGACTCAGATCTCTAGATACCTCATCACTCCTCCGCTGCTCCGATACAAGTCCGGGCTGCGGTGGTTTGTTGATACATGTCTTCTTCTTCTGTTTGCTTTAATCGAGGCTTATGCAGCGCCCCCCATTGTCAGTAAATGGAAGTACTACAAAGAACCCCGTTTAGTGCCGTTATTTCACAAGTTTTTTTATACGCAGCTCGGAAATAATTACCGAGGTCCGGACCTCGGTGACCTCAATGGTGGATACGGCCCTGCACAGTAGCTCTTTGCGTCCAAGCCTTCAACAATGTCATTCACTACTTTCAAAGCAGCCGTTACTGTACTGTGCTGCTTCCTAAAGCCTGACTGGTGAGGAGATAGAATGTTGTTCAAGCTTAAATATTCTTTGATTTGATCATTCACCAGCCTTTCAAGTACTTGAGCTAAAATAGAGAGCTTGGAAATTGGTCTGTAATTATTCATCAGCATGGGATCACCACCTTTCAATAAGGGGAGAACATTTGCAGTTTTCCAAACATCTGGAATGACATTGTTTGTTATAGAAAGATTAAAAACATGACACACTGGTTGGGCTATAATATCTGCAGCTAGACGTAAGAAACAAGGGGGGAGATCGTCTGGGCCTGCTGATTTATTGGGGTCTAGGCCCTTTAGAGCCTTACAAACCTCCCCAACATTGAAGGGGTTGAAGGAGAAAGTGTGGCTACTGGAGGCATGACTATTGGCGATGGAGGGAGATGATTTACCAAAAGATAATGTGTCAAGGAACTGGAGGCAATAAAATGTTTATTAAAACAATTAAGCATCTCTGTCTTATTTGACACAGGGGTGGAGTCAACAACAATGTTTGGAGGCAGCTCTAAGGAGCGAGAGCTGGCAGAGAGGGATTTTATGGCATGCCAAAATCTCCTAGGATCGTTTAAACTGTCTGTGGTCTGGGATAAGTAAAAATCGCTTTTGGCTTTTTTAATGGAAGCAGTACAGCGATTACGCAGTTGACGAAAAAGAAGCCAGTCAGCCTCAGAGCCTGTCTTCCTCGCAGCAGCCCAAAGGAGATTCCTCTTGCGTAAGAGGGCTGCCAGATCAGAAGTGAACCAGGGGGTATAACGGCCCTTCACCCTGAACCGGCGAAACGGAGCATGTTTATCTAAAAAATAACTAAAACTGTCATAAAAATACTTCCAAGCATGGTCAACATCACCAATCAATAAAATACGATCCCATTTAAAATGAACTAAGTCATGAAGAAAGGCTTGCTCTATAAAGTGCTTAACATTTCTTTTCAGAACAACACAGGGTTTAGTACGGGGGATTTTGGTATCCCTAATAGCACCAACTAGACAATGATCACTTAGGTCATTAGCAAAGACCCCGGTTGCAGTATATTTATGGGGTTGATTAGTAATTAAAAGATCGATAAGAGATGATTTTTTTAGACACCTGGTGTTAAGACGAGTAGGACTTTCAATTACTTGTGTAAAATTTAGAGACAGACAATGAGCTTTAAAATCATTAGACACTGGTGATATGTGTAAAATATGTGTTTTTTCCACAGACTGAGAGCAGCTTCTCCTGATTCTGGCATGCACTCTATTAAGAGTGACCGGTCTAAAGACTTCAGTAATGAACCTGGACCCTCAGACACAAAGTAAGAGTTTCTACTGGGACCTGACCTGGAGAGGATCCAGTTTTATGTAACGCAATGTAATTCATTAGATTCAGTTCAGAGCAAGTCCAACAATCTTTAATCAGGTGAACAGACAGAAGTCAAAAGCTGCTCTTTGAATGAACTGATGAAGTGCAAAACATGTGTTGTTTCCACAGAAGGAGAGCAGAGTCTCCAGTCCCCAGCTGTCTGTCTATGAAGAGTGACTGGTCTGAAGAGGAACCTCCAGACTTCAGAGATGAACCCGGACCCTCAGACACAAAGTAAGAGGTTTTACTGTAACCTGACCTCAAGAGGATTCAGATTTTATATATAATCGTATAATCTAAACTGTTCTTTCATAATTACATGAGCGCAGTAGAGTACAGACACTCTGTAGAATGAAGTACAGAAATGCAGTAGATTAGAGTAAAGATTTGCAGTAAAGTACAAAAAGAAAGGCAGTAGAGAACTAAGTAAACTACTCCAGTAAAATAACACTCTCTCTCCACATGTAGGACCTCTGGTTAAGCAAATCAAATACAAACATGTAGAACTTCACAAATGAATTGTAATAACAAGCCACCAATAAAAGCATTAAAGTTCAGTCAACAAGGACGAAGAGGACAGTTAACAATATGTTAGGATATTTCAATATGCTATTATATTATCAATGTATCAGTGTTATGACATGTTCTTAAAATGACAATAATACTTGAAACAATATAAATCTTCCAACAAATGAGTTGACTACCTCAGCATCTTTTTCAGACGTATTTGAAGAGGTTTATTAATAATAGTAATAACCTGGTGAGCTGGTTGTGTTTAGCATTAGCAGATGTAACTGATTACATGTAGAGTCAATACAAAGACACACATGTGTACCTGGCAACACGAATGAAGTGAAGAAGCAACATTCATATCCCCCGTGTATTCACACAACTTGAAAAGTTACAACTTGAGTGTAAAGTTTGTGACGCTCTGTTACAAAAACAGTGTTGAGATTCTGCTCCTGTCGTCACTGACATGCTGAGATAAATCAGAAGAGGGAACATCAGCACCCAGAGCTCTACAGCACCTCATATTCAATCAGGGTTATTCATGTACCTGGATAAACCAGAGACTGTCTGTGGTGCTAACAATATAATAGCTGCTGTTCTTATGACTGGATGGAGTTATTTTGAGTGTAGATGGATCAGCTACAATGTTAGCCTAGCCTAGCTTTAATGAAACCAATCTCCATTCAGAAAACAAACATTTTAAAGTGTTTTGCTCGTTGTGTTGCAGACAGACCTGACGAAGCATTAACTCAAATCAATATCATTATGTTGTTATTTTGGCACCCTTTCCATATGTTTATTGCATTAATTAACAGGAAATTCAATGTAAATTGGGTTCAAAGTGCTAAAGTGTACCAGATTAATTCAGCTGATGTTATGAATCCAGACACAAAGCTGTTTTGTTTCCTAATGATATGAATAACTAACCACTATCTACCTTATCATGATGAAATATAATCTAATTATATTTTAAATATGAAACTAGAATTTGCCACATTGTTGTACCTTTGGTGAGAATCAGCTCCACTAATGTAAAGTGCTGTAAAGGATGTGTTCATCTCCACAGAGGGAAGAGGAAGAGTGGTGTTCCTGTGGAGCAGCAGATGTCCAGCTGTGCTCTGTGTCAGGACGTCCTGAAGGATCCAGTCTCTACCAGCTGTGGACACTGGTTCTGCAGACAGTGCATCGCCTCATACTGGGAGCAGCTTCCTCCATCAGGAGACTCCTGCTGTCCTCAGTGTGGAGAAAGATGGAGCATTTTACAAAGTAAGAGGCCGAACACGTGCAGCCTCTTTACCGCTGTCTGGGTGTCTACTCTTCTATAGAAACACTGTATCATCTGATCCCTTCTTCAAGGCTTTGGTTTTAAAGTGTGTACACAAATATTTCACGTGGGACAGCAGTGTTTCCCTAAAAAACGCTTTCTGTCTTACTCAGACATTACTACATTAGCCCAGCACTTATATAACATTTCCGTATGATAGTATAAATATCTGGCAACTAGTATTTGTGGTTCCTTCTGGAGTCTTCATGTCCAGGATTCTTTTGTGTTGTAAAGTATAGACATTAAAATGTTTTATACAAATCATGACATTTAAAACCCTGACTGTTCAGATTCTCAAAAGCATTTTCCTGATTCTCTCATGTTTCCTTCTCTTCCAGCAGATAGTGGTCTGCAGGAGGTTTTAGATGAACATAGGCTCAGTCTGAGGAGGAGATGTGAACGTGTGACTGAAGGAACTGATCAAAGTGAAACCCTCCTCAACAGGATCTTCACTGAGCTCTACATCACACAAGGCCAGAGTGAAGAGGTTAATACCCAACATGAGGTGAGGCAGCTGGAGACAGCTTCCAAGAAAGAGACCCTCCATGACACTCCAATCAAGTGCCAGGACATCTTTAAAGCCTTACCTGACCAACAGACTCTCATCAGAGCGGTCCTGACCAACGGAGTCGCTGGAGTTGGAAAAACCTTCTCAGTGCAGAAGTTCACTCTGGACTGGGCCGAGGGTTTGGAAAACCAAGATGTCAGTCTGGTGATCCCGCTCTCCTTCAGGGAGCTGAACCTGATCAAAGGTGAGCAGTACAGTCTTCTCAGGCTGCTCCATGTTTTCCATCCGACCTTACAGAAGGTCACAGCAGAGCAGCTGGCTGTCTGTAAAGTGCTGCTCATCTTTGACGGCCTGGATGAAAGCAGACTTTCTCTGGACTTCAGAAACAATGAGGTTGTGTCTGATGTCTCACAGCAGTCCTCAGTCAACGTGCTGCTGACAAACCTCATCAGGGGGAAGCTGCTTCCCTCGGCTCTCGTCTGGATAACTTCCAGACCTGCAGCGGCCAATCAGATCCCTCCTGAGTGTGTGGACAGGGTAACAGAAGTACGAGGCTTCACTGACGCCCAGAAGGAGGAGTACTTCAGGAGGAGATCGAGTGATGAAGACCTGTCCAGCAGAATCATCTCTCACATCAAGAGCTCCAGGAGCCTCCACATCATGTGTCTGATCCCAGTGTTCTGCTGGATCACTGCTGCAGTTCTGGACCACATGTTGACTACAGACCAGAGAGGAGAGCTGCCCCAGACCCTCACTGACATGTACTCACACTTCCTGCTGGTCCAGACACAGAGGAAGAAGCAGAAGTATGAAGCGGGACATGAGACGAGTCCACAGCAGCTGACGGAGGCTGACAGGAAGGTTCTTCTGAAGCTGGGGAGGCTGGCGTTTGAACATCTGGAGAAAGGAGACATCATGTTCTATCAAGAAGACCTGCAGCGCTGTGGTCTTGGTGTCACTGAGGCCTTGGTGCACTCAGGAGTTTGTACAGAGATCTTCAAAAGAGAGAGAGTGATCTTCCAGAAAACAGTCTACTGCTTTGTTCATCTGAGCATTCAGGAGTTTCTGGCTGCAGTCTACTTGTTCCACTGTTACACCAACAGGAACACAGCGGTACTGAAGGACTTCCTGCAGGGAGACGGGGACGATGAGAACAGTGAAAACAGTGATTATGATTACCCATCCCTGGATGTCTTCCTTAAGGGAGCCATGGAGAAATCTCTCCAAAGTGAAAATGGCCACCTGGACCTGTTTGTCCGCTTTCTCCACGGCCTCTCTCTGGAGTCCAACCAGAGACTGTTAGGAGACCTGCTGGGTCGCACAGACAACAGTCCAGAAATCATCCAGAGAGCCATCAACAACCTGAAGAAGATGAGCAGTGATGAAATCTCTCCTGACAGGAGCATCAACATCTTCCACTGTCTGACAGAGATGAAGGACCACTCAGTACATCAGGAGGTCACAGAGTTCCTGAAGTCAGGGAAAAGATCAGAGAAGGAACTCTCTGTGATCCACTGCTCTGCTCTGGCCTACATGCTGCAGATGTCAGAGGAGGTTCTGGATGAGTTGGACCTGGAGAAGTACCACACATCAGAGGAGGGACGACGGAGACTGATTCTAGCTGTGAGGAACTGCAGGAAGGCCAAGTAAGTCCAGATGTGATTAGCTTTATGAATTGATGTGGATCAGAAGTTTATTTCTTCAAATAAACACAATAAAATGTTTCATGTTAAATACTTTGAGAGCAAAATTAAATGATCCAGTTATTCTATTTATATATTGTGACATTTTAACATTTATTTATTTTCTTCACATTATTTTGAGTGATGGAGGCGACATGTCAAACACATGAAGGACTTTAGAGGTGTTATCAGAGCAGCATGTGATCACAACATACAGCAGTATTTACAGTTATCGGTGAAAGCAGTTATTAATATATCATTGCAGTTTCTTAAACATGAAATCAGATCTGTTTTTACCACAATGCTTAAGAGTTTAAAATAATGGCTGACAGGCTGACAATGAATAAAGAAAACTCTATTATTAAATTCAATCGACATAATATGTTAAAGGTTGTTCCATTTCAAATTCAGTAAGTTAATTAAATGTTTCCTCTGTTTTTATACTAACACAAGTTGTGATATATGTGTCATTATAGACTTTCTAACTGTGGACTCTCAGAGATTGAATGTGAAGTCGTGGCCTCAGCTCTGAAGTCTGACCCCTCTCATCTGAGAGAGCTGGACCTGAGTCACAACGATCTGCATGATGCAGGAGTGGAGCTGCTGAGTTCTGGACTAAAGAGTCCAAACTGCAGACTGGAGGCTCTCAGGTCAGTTCACTGACTGCAGTTCATACAGATCTGTTTGTATTTATGATTTTCAGAATTTGACTGAAGACATTTTAATGCTTTTATTTTTTTCTGTATTTCCAAATGGAAATGGAATCCAAACTTTAAGAATAACAAAGATCAGAGAAGGTGAATGTGTGACGGAGAGTGTTTGAGCTTCCACAGACTCACTCTGTGCTCCATGAGTCAGTGGAGATGCTGTCAGTACTGATGAGCTGTGAGGGAGATGAAGGAGTTGTTAAACATCTGATGAGAGAAACTGCTGCAGAGAGTTCCAGATTATCAGGGATTTGTTTCTACATCATTGCTGACCTTAAAACATTGTTCAGCTCTGATCAGATTATTAAAACATTGAGTTATTTCAAACAGGAACATTGTTTTCTAAAGTTACATCATGTTTTCTTTATTCAGACTGGAGGGCTGCAGTTTGTCAGAGATCAGCTGGGCTGCTCTGATCTCAGCTCTGAAGTCCAACATCCATCTGAGAGATATATGTCGTTGTGAGGGTTTTCCTGCTCACCCAGTTAAAAAGGACAGAAGGAGAGGAAGGCTTGCTTAAAAGAAAGCTTTATTGACTGGCCACAGCTTGCAAACAATACATCAATACTTTAGGAAACAGACAGAACACTGCTGCCAGTGACAGGCTTTCTTGGGGCAAGTCATTCTGCCCCCAGGACCCAGACCAAGAGAAAAGAACCAGGTCACTGACATGCTTTACTGTTCACCTGGTTACCTGATCCTTGTCCAGCTGTCTGGAGCCACCCCCATCCCTCCAGCAGCCGGCGCTCTAACCACACCCCACTGCCACAGTCCTTTTGTTCATATTCTTATTTTTCTTGTACTACATTTAGTCTGCAGTCATAAAAGTTGACTGTTTCTTCAAATATATATGTTAGATATCCACTGTTAGTTGTTAAAGTAAATGTATGTTGTCTTAAGTAAATGGTCACATCTGAATAAAGAAGTTCATCTGAACTAATATTAGTTTTTCATTGATGCATACATGTTTTTCTTGCTTCCCATTGATTTCAATGTTTTCACAGATAATAAACAGAAGGCTGATATTATGATGATCCACAATAACAGAATGACAGTCACTGTAATTCAGGGAAAAGCTCATTGATTAGGAGACAGGAATGTTGAGCTACACTTAATAAACCTGAACATCTGACTGGATTATAAACAGATTTTCATCCTCATCATGTTTTCTTTATTCAGACTGGAGGGCTGCAGGTTGTCAGAGATCAGCTGTTCTGCTCTGGCCTCAGCTCTCAAGTCCAACATCCATCTGAGATATCTGAACCTGAGTCTCAACGCTCTGCAGGATTCAGGAGTGGAGCTGCTGAGAGATCTTCTGGAGAGTCCAGACTGCAGACTGGAGACTCTCAGGTCAGTTCTCCATCTGTAACTTGTGTGCTAAGATGAATCTGTGAGAGTTGTATTGACTCTGAGCTGCAGACATCAGGCTGATCTCACTCTGATCCTCACTGAGCATCTTAATGCTAGAGTTGCATAATGCAATGTTGATCTTTCCATTTAAATATAACAACAAAAACCCTTCACTGCAGAATTCACTCTGAACCTTTTAAACAGCTGAAATTCATCTTGTATTCTCCATCATGATTTTAACAAATTATATAAAATATAATAAAATAATTATATTAAAACTATCCAACGCTAACAAGTATGTTCAGTTGTTGCTGTTTCCAACATGTTCCTGAAGCTACATGATGCTCATACTGACTGAATAGTTTACTCTGAAGAAGCTGTGATTTGATGACTCCACTGTTCCTAAAATACATATTCTGGATGTTTTTCTTCACATTTAAAATTCATCCTGAATTGTGATCTTTGTAAACGTTGTGATCTTGAGTTGAATCAGTTTCTGTGGTTTGTATTTGTCTGGCTGCACATCATGAGTTAGTGTAGATGGAGCAGAGCTTCAGATGTGAAGTCTCCTCGTTTTATTGAAGTAGAAGCACGTTGTCTTTCATATTAATGAGAGCTCTTTCCCTCTTTCTGTATCTTACAGTTTTTAACCTGTTTGGAGTCTCCACTTTCTAACCTTCTTCAGCTCTGAGCAGATTATTAAACCTTGAGTTATTTCAAACAGGAACATTGTTTTCTAAAGTTACATCATGTGTTCTTTATTCAGACTGGAGGACTGCAGTTTGTCAGAGATCAGCTGTTCTGCTCTGGCCTCAGCTCTGAAGTCCAACATCCATCTGAGAGTTCTGGACCTGAGTGGCAACGATCTGCAGGATTCAGGAGTGGAGCTGCTGAGAGATCTTCTGGAGAGTCCAGACTGCAGACTGGAGACTCTCAGGTCAGTTCTCCATCTGTAACTTGTGTGCTGAGATGAATCTGTGAGAGTTGTGTTGACTCTGAGCTGCAGACATCAGGCTGATATCACTCTGATCCTCACTGAGCATCTTAATGCTAGAGTTGCATAATGCAATGTTGATCTTTCCATTTAAATATAACAACAAAAACCCTTCACTGCAGAATTCACTCTGAACCTTTTAAACAGCTGAAATTCATCTTGTATTCTCCATCATGATTTTAACAAATTATATAAAATATAATAAAATAATTATATTAAAACTATCCAACGCTAACAAGTATGTTCAGTTGTTGCTGTTTCCAACATGTTCCTGAAGCTACATGATGCTCATCAGTGGCGTTTTTATATGTACAAAAGTGGTGGGGCACAAAAAACGTAGATGTCTATATATAGGCTTCTGCAGTGATGTGCAGTGAGGTTCATGGCTGGTGAGGCACTGGCACTGACTCTTCAGGTTTACAAATATTATATTTTGACCTAAACCAAAATATAATATTATTTTCAAAAGCTTTTTTTGTCTGATGCTTCGATTAATTTTAAACAGACAGTTCAACAAAAGGATACCCAAAAAATGTAATTTTATCATTTAAATATTGAATTGTGTAAGATCCCATTTTCAAAAAATTGCGGTCTTACCTTGACTTGAAGATGAAGTCCATTTGTCTATCCTTCTGGACAAAAATGTCTATAACTTTTTTGTAAAAGTCCTCCTTATCTTCTTGTAGTTTCAAAAGTCTATCATAAATCTAATCGATAGATTTATGATAAAAAAATTATAAAAGTAGGGTAGACATGTGGATGTTATCCGGCTGAACAAAACGTGCATTTATCTAACAGGTACGTTTCCCACAGATCTTATTTCGAGCTATTTTCTAAAATCCTATGGAGAAACCTCATTGCTTTTTTGCAGCTTACTTCCTGGTTTTAGGATGCGTCACTGCAGCTCTCTCGTCTCCTCTTCAAGCACCACACTTTTCGCGGCACACGTACTTACAGCCAATCAGCTCTGAATGATGTGAGATGACGTATGGTGGGGATGGCAGCTCTGTGCTCCTATGGTCTTTTTTTTTTTGCCACACACATTACATTGAAAAATATTCGGAGCATGTGCAGTGTAGTTTTTACAGTCACCGTTCACTTTGACAGTGAGAGGGTGGGGCATGATCAGGTTTTGTCCCACATGGCTCAAAACGGCACTGTAGACACTAATTAGAAGAACACAGACTAAAACAGCAATGTACAGACGAATCAGATGATTAAACATGACCTTAAAATATATTTTATATTTTTTTTAATTTCTTTTTTTGCATCTCTTTGCATTTTTTGTAATCCTTGTGTTATACTTTCTGCTGACACTAGGTGGGGCTGTGCCCCACCTGCCCCTAATGACCAGTCGCCACTGATGCTCATACTGACTGAATAGTTTACTCTGAAGATGCTGTGATTTGATGACTCCACTGTTCCTAAAATACATATTCTGGATGTTTTTCTTCACATTTAAAATTCATCCTCAATTGTGATCTTTGTAAACGTTGTGATCTTGAGTTGAATCAGTTTCTGTGGTTTGTATTTGTCTGGCTGCACATCATGAGTTAGTGTAGATGGAGCAGAGCTTCAGATGTGAAGTCTCCTCGTTTTATTGAAGTAGAAGCACCTTGTCTTTAATATTAATGAGAGCTCTTTTCCTCTTTCTGTATCTTACAGTTTTTTAACCTGTTTGGAGCTTCCACTTTCTAACCTTCTTCAGCTCTGAGCAGATTATTAAACCTTGAATTATTTCAAACAGAAACATTGTTTTCTAAAGTTACATCATGTGTTCTTTATTCAGACTGAGGAGCTGCAGTTTGTCAGAGATCAGCTGTTCTGCTCTGGCCTCAGCTCTGAAGACCAACATCCATCTGAGAGATCTGGACCTGAGTCAGAACGCTCTGCAGGATTCAGGAGTGGAGCTGCTGAGAGATCTTCTGGAGAGTCCAGACTGCAGACTGGAGGCTCTCAGGTCAGTTCTCCATCTTTAACTTGTGTGCTGAGATGAATCTGTGAGAGTTGTGTTGACTCTGAGCTGCAGACATCAGGCTGATCTCACTCTGATCCTCACTGAGCATCTTAATGCTAGAGTTGCATAATGCAATGTTGATCTTTACATTTAAATATAACAACAAAAACCATCACTGCAGAATTCACTCTGAACCTTTTAAACAGCTGAAATTCATCTTGTATTCTCCATCATGATTTTAACAAATGATATCAAATATAATAAAATAATTCTATTAAAACTATCCAACACTAACAAGTATGTTCAGTTGTTGCTGTTTCCAACATGTTCCTGAAGCTACATGATGCTCATCAGTGGCGTTTTTATATGTACAAAAGTGGTGGGGCACAAAAAACGTAGATGTCTATATATAGGCTTCTGCAGTGACGTGCAGTGAGGTTCATGGCTGGTGAGGCACTGGCACTGACTCTTCAGGTTTACAAATATTATATTTTGACCTAAACCAAAATATAATATTATTTTCAAAAGCTTTTTTTGTCTGATGCTTCGATTAATTTTAAACAGACAGTTCAACAAAAGGATACCCAAAAAATGTAATTTTATCATTTAAATATTGAATTGTGTAAGATCCCATTTTCAAAAAATTGCGGTCTTACCTTGACTTGAAGATGAAGTCCATTTGTCTATCCTTCTGGACAAAAATGTCTATAACTTTTTTGTAAAAGTCCTCCTTATCTTCTTGTAGTTTCAAAAGTCTATCATAAATCTAATCGATAGATTTATGATAAAAAAATGATAAAAGTAGGGTAGACATGTGGATGTTATCCGGCTGAACAAAACGTGCATTTATCTAACAGGTACGTTTCCCACAGATCTTATTTCGAGCTATTTTCTAAAATCCTATGGAGAAACCTCATTGCTTTTTTGCAGCTTACTTCCTGGTTTTAGGACGCGTCACTGCAGCTCTCTCGTCTCCTCTTCAAGCACCACACTTTTCGCGGCACACGTACTTACAGCCAATCAGCTCTGAATGATGTGAGATGACTTATGGTGGGGATGGCAGCTCTGTGCCCCTATGGTCTTTTTTTTTTTGCCACACACATTACATTGAAAAATACTCGGAGCATGCGCAGTGTAGTTTTTACAGTCACCGTTCACTTTGACAGTGGGGTGGGGGGCATGATCAGGTTTTGTCCCACATGGCTCAAAACGGCACTGTAGACACTAATTAGAAGAACACATACTAAAACAGCAATGTACAGACGAATCAGATGATTAAACATGACCTTAAAATATATTTTATATTTTTTTTAATTTCTTTTTTTGCATCTCTTTGCATTTTTTGTAATCATTGTGTAATACTTTCTGCTGACACTAGGTGGGGCTGTGCCCCACCTGCCCCTAATGACCAGTCACCACTGATGCTCATACTGACTGAATAGTTTACTCTGAAGATGCTGTGATTTGATGACTCCACTGTTCCTAAAATACATATTCTGGATGTTTTTCTTCACATTTAAAATTCATCCTGAATTGTGATCTTTGTAAACGTTGTGATCTTGAGTTGAATCAGTTTCTGTGGTTTGTATTTGTCTGGCTGCACATCATGAGTTAGTGTAGATGGAGCAGAGCTTCAGATGTGAAGTCTCCTCGTTTTATTGAAGTAGAAGCACGTTGTCTTTAATATTAATGAGAGCTCTTTTCCTCTTTCTGTATCTTACAGTTTTTTAACCTGTTTGGAGTTTCCACTTTCTAACCTTCTTCAGCTCTGAGCAGATTATTAAACCTTGAATTATTTCAAACAGGAACATTGTTTTCTAAAGTTACATCATGTGTTCTTTATTCAGACTGAGGAGCTGCAGTTTGTCAGAGATCAGCTGTTCTGCTCTGGCCTCAGCTCTGAAGACCAACATCCATCTGAGAGATCTGGACCTGAGTCAGAACGCTCTGAACGATTCAGGAGTGGAGCTGCTGAGAGATCTTCTGGAGAGTCCAGACTGCAGACTGGAGACTCTCAGGTCAGTTCACTGACTCTCTGTTACTGCTGGAGATCTCATGTGTTTCATTAACAGTTGAACCTAATGCTTGAACAACCATACATTTGTATATGTCGTTGTGAGGGTTTTCCTGCTCACCCAGTTAAAAAGGACAGAAGGAGAGGAAGGCTTGCTTAAAAGAAAGCTTTATTGACTGGCCACAGCTTGCAAACAATACATCAATACTTTAGGAAACAGACAGAACACTGCTGCCAGTGACAGGCTTTCTTGGGGCAAGTCATTCTGCCCCCAGGACCCAGACCAAGAGACAAGAACCAGGTTACTGACATGCTTTACTGTTCACCTGGTTACCTGATCCTTGTCCAGCTGTCTGGAGCCACCCCCATCCCTCCAGCAGCCGGCGCTCTAACCACACCCCACTGCCACAGTCGCTTTGTTCATATTCTTATTTTTCTTGTACTACATTTAGTCTGCAGTCATAAAAGTTGACTGTTTCTTCAAATATATATGTTAGATATCCACTGTTAGTTGTTAAAGTAAATGTATGTTGTCTTTAGTAAATGGTCACATCTGAATAAAGAAGTTCATCTGAACTAATATTAGTTTTACATTGATCTCTGAAGCATACATGTTTTTCTTGCTTCCCATTGATTTAAATGTTTTCACAGATAATAAACAGTAGGCTGATATTATGATGATCCACAATAACAGAAAGACAGTCACTGTAATTCAGGGAAAAGCTCATTGATTAGGAGACAGGAATGTTGAGCTACACTTAATAAACCTGAACATCTGATTGGATCATAAACAGATTTGTATCCTCATCATGTGTTCTTTATTCAGACTGATGAGCTGCAGGTTGTCAGAGATCAGCTGTTCTGCTCTGGCCTCAGCTCTGAAGTCCAACATCCATCTGAGAGATCTGGACCTGAGTGACAACGAGCTGCAGGATTCAGATGTGAAGCTGCTGAGAGATCTTCTGAAGAGTCCAGACTGCAGACTGGAGACCCTCAGGTCAGTAAGGGGTCTCTGCTGGTTCAGCAGTATTGTATTAAACACAGGGAGGTGTTTCTCTCTCTGGGGAATCACAACAGATCAGTGATGTTACCCACTGACTGCAGGCTCTTTCATTCTTCCATAAACTATATATCGTAAGCTGAAAATGCAAATCCACATTTAGTTAGTTAGCAACTTTCTAACAGACATATAGGATTTTACAGAAGAGTGGAAAAGGTTTTCTGTTTTGTTTCCTGTCATGTTTTTAGTTTCTAGCCTAATGAGCAGTTACTTCCTGTGATGCAGCTGAGAGCTGTGGCAGTCAGTCGTAGTGTTTTGTTTTTGTTTGTTTTTTATTCATTGTACAGGCTACAGACACAAAACATGGACATTACAATAACAAAATGAGACATTCTTATCTCAGACAGAAACAAATAAAATACAGTCAGTTGGTCACTTCAACATTTCATAAACAAAACAAAAAATAGTTGACAGTCCAATATCATCAAAAGCATGTATTATTCCTTTTGATCCCACTCTTCACTAGAGCTGATTGTTTCCCATGTCATGGTGTGTTGAGCCACCCTTTGATTCTTTGTGCCAATCATCCTTTCCAAAATCAATGGTGTTTTTAATCTACTTTTCACACACCTTAAATTCAGATTTTTCCTTGATTGAGCTTTAAAAATAAGTATTTTTGCCAGAAGAATAATTGTTTTCATCAACTGTGTATTGTCCTCGTCCAAAAGCCCAAACAAAAGACCAAAGGGAGTAAATGCAAAATCAATATAAAGTGTCTTAAGCCAGTTTTGAATCTCAGTCCACAGTCTTGCAACGTATGGACAATACAAAAATAAATGCATCTGGTCTTCCTCTTCCTCCTCACAGAATCTACAAAGTGGTGACGGTTCGATATTAAAAGTGTTGAGTTGTTTTTTTTGTAGCGATAATCTTGTAAAAGATCTTCAGTTGGAAGATTCTTGAATAGGAATCAATTGTTGTTTTGTATATGGTTCTAAAACATTGTTTCCAGGGTATCAGAATATTAAATTCCTCTTCCCAGAAAGAACAGACCGCATGAGGAAAAGCAGTAAGCCCCTTGCTCTGTAAACAGTGATTATAAATTATTTTATTTATTTTCCTTTTTGATAGCCATTTCTGACTTCTTGTATGAGGTGTGCAGACCTGTTGTCGGTTTCCATCTTTTTTTAATGTACGTTTCCAGTTAGTTGGAATAGCTGAAAGCAGCTGGTTAAAGTGAAGGAAATCACATATCTGACCATACAGCAAAAACACTGATATGAAATGTAATTACCTGAGCTATCTAGTAGATCATTCATACAAATAATTCCTTTTCTCAGGAGACTTTCCCATAATAGTGGTTTTCCATCTATTAAAACTTCTGAGTTCAACCATATTAATTGATTTTGGATTTCTTCTGGTGTATCTGGGGGGGAATACTGGAAACTCAACCAAGCCTTCAATGCATCTTTAACAAATGGTGAGATTTCAACTAATCTTTCTTTGAATAACCATTCACAGTGGTGAGACTTTAATTAGAAAAAGGGAAACAGTTTCCAGTCAAAAAATAAGTGCCCTGAAAATAAGTTCTGACTTGTTCTCCAAAGGCTATTATGATACATCTTATTCATCCAAGATGCTTTTAAGGATGAATTCATTGCTGCCACATTTTTTAAGTTTAGTCCACCATTTTCAAGTGTATTATATATGTATTGCCTTTTTATCTTGTCAGGCTTATTATTCCAGATGAACTTAAACATTCGTTGTTCAAAGCTTTTAAAAAAAGACGCCTCTGGGGAGGGAAGTGAAATTAAGAGATAAACAAACTGTGGAATCACAAGAGCATTAATTCATGTAATCTTTCCCTGTAATGAGAGAGCTTTCCCTTTCCAAGGTTGAATTATTTTCTCAGTTTTCTGCATTACACCATTAGACTGGAGCTGAGCATTGTAGCTCGGAATCTGTGCCTCTTAATGTTCCTATTCTCATAATACAGCATTTATCAAAGTTAGGCCTTAGCCCAGCTAATTTTGAACAGTTATTTAAATCAACTATGAGGGCATCTAATGCAGTTTTTTCAGGCTGTAGAAAGAAAGTTGCATCATCTGCAGATAATGTTACTTTTGTTTCAATACCATTTGATCTTAAG